GTAAATAGGAAAATTTCAAATAAAATAAAAAAAATTTATCAATAAAAATTATTTCATAATTTTCAAAATATTTCAAAATCATTCAAATTTTTTAATTATTTAAAAAAACTTTTGAATATCTCGAAATATTTCTAAATTATTCCAATTATTTTAAATTATTTCGAATTTTTTTAAATATTTCTAATTATATTTGAATTATGTTTTATATTTTATTTTTATTATTTTTAAAAATTTTTAAAATAGCTAAAATTCTTGCAAAATTATTTTGTTACTTTTGCAATATTGCGAAATTATTTTATTTCAAAATAATTTTATGTCAATCACAGTTATTTCAAAAGATTTTCTGTATGCAAAATCTTTTGCAATATTTCGCATATTTATTCTGCTGATGTACATTGTGAAAAAACAAAACCTTGAGCTTTCACACCAGCCTAAGCAGCCTTCTCTAAAGCTTCCAAAATTAAAAACTCATTATTTATATTAGATATATTCATTTAAAAAAATTTTTTTTATAGAAAACCTTATTGGTACTTTATAGTATAAGGATAATTTATTATTTATGTACTCTTTATGCTTAACAATAGTAAAAGAAAAATATAACTACATAAAAAAAATTAACAGAAAAATATATATAGTAATAATCATTTAATTTTGATCTGTATAATAATAATCTAATTATATTCTTAAATTTTATTATATAAGACAGTAATATTAATATTAGTATGTTATATCTGAGTAATCAGTAGGTGCAAAATCATATGCATGGTAGGTGTTTGGAGACTTTTCCATTCTAAAGTAATTAAAATAAAGTGCCTGGCCATGTGACTTTTGAAATATCCAGTCCAGAGACCAGAAAATATTTAGATATCAATTTCAAGAAATTTATTTGGATAACAATAAAAATTTGGATATAATTTGGATATAAATTTTATTTATTTTTCTTTATTAAAATAGATCATATTAAGTATTCTTAATGATTTTAAACTTAAATTTTGATGATTGTTATCCAAATTATTATTATATACTAAAAAGCTGCATTCAACTGCATATGCAAAAATAGGTAACCATATATATTTTATCACTATATTATATAAAAGTAGAAGAGATGATAAAGCTTTTTCCCAAAATATATCTAAAGTATTATATTCAATTGTAGCTAAATTAAGATTACAATAAATGCTCTATTTATGTAAAAGTACAATAGACAGATTTCTAAATTGAAGAATATCTGTTACATAAGAAGAAATAACTTAATTTTTAGTACATAATTGAATAAATTAGGAATTAAAAACTTGGGTAGCTTTAAAAAGTGATCAAGAAGGATGTAAAAAAATATGCTTAGAAAATTTTTTAAAAGCAGATTCAAATGCATCTTGAAATACAAGAGAAAAAGAAAAAGGTTCATTATTAAGTTTTAAAATAATATTATTAATAACTTGATTAAAATTATTATTAGTTTTACCATTATTAAGAAATATTTCTAATTGTTGAATTTGAGTTTCTACAAAAGGAAATATAGGCTTATTTTCTTTTTGAAAAAAATTAATTATATTAATAAAAAAAAAGCTATAATAATAAATAAATATAAGATAAATTTTGATCTTATTATTATTTTGTATATCATTAAAAATAGACATTACTTTATCAATAGAATCAGAGTTGTCTATTTGCTGTTGTTTTTTAAAAAAACCTTAAACATATTCTAAATACTTATAAACATAAAATGCTATTTCAAACCAGAAGTTCTATCATGTAGCATTTGGTAATGGCATAAAACGAAGTATCAAATTATTAGATGAAATTTGACTATTACTTTTAGGTAAAATACATTGTAAATACTCTATATATTTAACTCATCAACTTTTTGCATTCAAAAAAGTTTTTTTTATTTCTGTAATTAATTTTTTTATAAAATCAAAGTGATAACTTGAAACCTAAGCTTCTCTAAATCATTAATAAATAAATAAAATAAATAAATAAATAAATAAAATAAATAAATAAATAAATAAAATAGAGTAAAAATAAATACCTGATCAAATTTAGAATATAAGCTAGACAAAGATTATGTCTTATTTGTGGCATTGCTGAAACAAGTATTTCACACATACATTTTTTCATATAGGCTGCTGAGTCTGATATTATAAGCCATGAAGAAGTTAAAAGAATAGATCATTCTACTAAAATTCATAAAACAAGTTGATCAATACTAGTATTATTAACTTCTTGTAAAAATTCTACTGAAACTAACTTTAACTTTCCTTTATAACTGAATAAAACATTAATAATACTATGAGCATAGCTATTAGTTGTCTTATCAATAATTATGGCAACAGATAATCCTACAAATTCATCTTGAAGTTTTTCTATATACTTATAAAATACTTTTATCAAATACTGTTTTTTTAATGCACTTAAACCTGGAATAATACTACCTTCATAACAATATTTAACTAAAAACTCACAAAACTTATTAAAGTTTTCTAATAGAATATTAGCATCAACCCAAGCTTCAAGTAAATCATTGACCATTTCTCTTTTTATGTCAGCAATTTTTATTGCGAAGAGAAGAGTTTGTTGTCAGATGCTTTAATTGTTATTAAAATAAGTTTTTTAATTTTTTTTATGCATTTTTGAATTTATATGGGAGGTTACATATGCTTTATTCTTATAATTAACACTGCATTTACAAAAACAACATATCAGCTTGGTGAAATCTACTACAAAATCTTCAAAAAACTCCTGAGCATACAAAAAAGCTATTAATTTCTTTGTTGGTGACATTTTTTTAAATTATGTTTGGTGATTTTGCTAAGTTGTTTCTTTTATTTTTTTCCTTGCATTTTAGTGCTTCATTTGTTAACTTGTGAAAGTTTGCTTTTTTGAAAATTTTGTATATACTTTTACAATATTTTTTAGATCAAAATCCTAACCAATCAGGATTTATAAAATCAAATTACTTGAAAATTTGGAAAAATTTGGCTAACATTAAAAAATTTGGAAAAATTTGAATTAATTTGGATCCAAAAATTTGGAAAATTTTGGATTGATTTAGATCCAAAAATTTGAAAAAATTTGGATTGATTTGGATCCAAAAATTTTCTGATTTCTGATCTGGTCTAATATTTAAAATCAAACCAATTGAAGATAATATATAAATAAAAGAAAAAAAACATATATTTAGGGTTAGGAAATTTTGTATAGAAAAATTTTGTAAAAAAAATTTATTTTCATAAAATTTCACATTAGATTTTAATTAGTGGGTAATTATTTAGAACAACTACTGAAAGTGCTTCTTGTCAGTTCTTTATATATCAATTGCAATCAGTGTCTTGTGATTACATATCTCTGCTTATTAATTAATTTTGCTCAGTAATTGATCTTTCTTGATCTTGATCCAGGTCCTGCATTATAATTGAGTAGATGCAGAGGTTGTGGCATGTAGTATGTAGCCTCTGACCAGTGTAGCCCTTTCTTTTTGATCTGTTGACTCTTGTTAATATGCATTTGATTAACTAATGTCAAAAAAAAATATTCAGAATATTTTATTTTATTTTTACAGCATAGTGAACATTCAATGTGATTGGTTAGCTTTTGTAAATTATTTGATTAATTTTTTTAAATTATAATTGACTAATTTCACTTATACATATATTATATATATGATCTACATTTTTACAAAAGAACTGTTGCTTTTTTTTTGTATAACTTAATTTTTAGCTTACTTTATGTTCACAGTTCTAGCTAATGCTAAACAGTACTTAGAATCTATTCTATACAGAAGTTGAAGCTAAATTAAATTTGTTTAAGAATTGTTAAAGTCATCAAGTTGTTATCAGATAAATGTATTCTCAACTTACTAGTTTATATTTCTTAGTTTGGTTTCTAATTATCTGAATGAATACTCATACTATTATTATTTTTATGAATTAGAATTACAAAAGATGAACATAAGGCATTCACTTATTATTGAAAATGTGCAGAACTAGAAAATGTTAAACAAGCAAAAATAAAAAAAAATTTTTTTTAAAAAAATAATGATTATTTATTGTATTGTAATATAAATTTAAATTATAATGATAGTAATTTAATAATACTGATTATTAAATTGTAATAAATATAACAATAAATTTATTTAATTTTTAAGAATAAATTACATTATTATGCATTTATTAAAATATTCATTGCTTTTTCAATTTGTAAATCTATATTATTATTTAATAAGAGACCTTCAGTGCTAATATTTGTACCATTATAAGTTTCTTGGATTTTAGTACCATCTGCCTCTTTTGCATTCTTATCTATTTCTATTTTACTAAATGTTTCTAAAGTTTTTTAAAAAGACTTACAATTGCCTTTAATTCTGCTTACAAGATAGTCAATGCAATATTGGCATTAACTATCTAACTTAAATAAAAAACATTCAAAATAATAAGCATATCTACAGATTAAAATGCAATCTACCTCACAAGAATCTATACAATCTTTCAAATTGCAATGTCTGTCTTTTTAAGAAGAATGTGCTATATTCCAAGCCATTGGTAATATCTTAATATCAACCTTGGCTCCTAGTGCTAAAAATTCATATAATTCAGTTTCAGAATCTGCATTTATTACAACCATTTTTGGTTTTTTAATATTCATAAATACATTATAAAAAGACCTAATAAAAAAAGTGCAGCATTCTTTTCAAGATATTCCAGTTGTTTAACTGAATATCTAATATTATGATCTTCAAAAAAAGTGTTAGTAAATGAATTGTCACTGCATATCTGATCAATTGTTCATATCTATTGAATAATTTGTTCTGTTGTATTTGATTCTTGTATCTGTTACCAAAGAGAACTGTGGAAATTTTCAACATAATAATTATTGAAAACATAGAGAAAACCTGAAAGAATATGAGAAATTAGGTAATTAGTATTAGACTAAAAAAAATATTACTCAAAAATGCTAATGGTAACTTGTTATAATGTTGATGTTGATATTGGTAAAAAATTAACCAAATACAAAACATAGCTTTTTTGTATGCTATCCAATTTTCACTATAAAATATAACAAAATAAAAATCTAAAACTAGTAAAATAACATTGTTTAGTAAATTAATAAGATATCTGGCTTTTAAATCTTTAAACTGTTTAATTTTTATAAAATTAACAAATGTATTTATAACAAACTCTGTAAAGCAAATTCTAAAAGCAAATTAATTTTATAAAGTTTTAATTTTTTTGCAAAACCTTATTTTCACCAAATATTATATGAAAAAATTTATTAAAAAACTCATAATTTAATAAAAATATAATTTTATAACTATTTAAGAATATATGTAAAGGTCTAATTATCAGAACAATATGCAGAATTTGTTACAGTATTTCAAAATATTTTGTCTTAATATAGTTAGTAATAGCACATTGCATATGAAGTTGTCTAGAATAATCCATAGCCACTACTAATATCTGTGTTTCTATATAAGTTCTTATTTCAGGAATATTTATTATGTATTTAACTTCTTTATGTAGTCATCAGTTGATTTAAGAGACTCTTCTATTAGATCAACTAGCTTTGTATTTTTTATGCTTCGATCAGTATGATATTGTTCAATTCTATTATTATAGCTATAGATTAAAAGGCATTTAACTTATTCATTATAAGTCTTTAGTTCAGTCATCAAGTTGTTAAAAGACTATTTGTATCTTGTATAACTAAGCCATAAATGAGAAAAGAAATAAGTATATGAATTCAATATAATAATAGTTGCATCAATATCTTCTTTATTGTAAATATTTTTTTCTTAATTATTGGAATTGTAAAATGGAATAGAAGTAACTTTTGGCAAATCTTTTAAAAATATTATAACAAAATAAGTAATATTATAAGTATTTTTTACATCACAATAACAATATTCATGAATATTATAAAATTATTCAAGTTGAAAACAACCAAATTTTTATTTTATAAAAAATTATACAATTTATTATTATCAAAAAACAAAAAAAAAATTTATTGTAAACCTATATTGTTAGTTAAAAATCTTTTTACTATTATTATATGCCCTTCTGAATATTAAGCTTTTTGTCTTGCAATAGTTATACATCATACTATTAAGCCCACACTAGCTAATGTCTCTATTGCTAATGAAAAGGTTCTAAACACATCCAGTAAAAATCCAACATCTGTTTTGATTCTATTAATAAACTTATTATTAAGACCAACCAAAAAATAACAAAAAGAAATTAATTTTTTTTTATTTTTTTTATTAGTTATATTACTCTTAGCTTGCAGATTAGTATTAGCAACCAATTGATCAAAGAATCTCTTCAATAACAGCTCAGCTTCTTTGAGTATCTTTTTGAATTCTTCTAGATCCAAAATAGATTTTTCTTTGTATACTCATTGTCTTGTATATAACACTTCTACTATCAGTCAAATTTTCTTGCTAAGAGGAATTAATTCTAAAAAATTATTGATTATATAAATTGATATACAAAAAAATAATTCAGAATACAATTATAAACAAAAAATTTTTGCTTATCCAGTTTTATTTATTTATTTTTTTAAATATTAATAGTGAGGCCATGCTTTTAACTTTATTGAAATTCAATTGAAGTTTTTACAAAGAAAAGCTTGCTTTTA